TCCCGCAGGATGAAGGAGTGGTGGGTGCAGGTGGGGCTGCTGACCGTGCCCCTCCTCGCTGTCTACCTGCACATCCCGCCCCCAAAGCTCTCCCCAGCTCTCCTCTCCTGGAGATCCTCTGGAGGCTTCTTCACCTACAAGGACCAGAACATCTTCTACAGAGGTGACAGGGCTGTGCCGAGCCCTGGGGAGACCTCATCCATCCCAGTGGGGAGTGGGACTGTGGGCTCTGCTCTCTTTGGTGGCCCTGGGGACACCTCATCCATCACAGTGGGAAGTGGGACTGTGGGCTCTGCTCTCTTTGGTGGCCCTGGGGACACCTCATCCATCACAGTGGGAAGTGGGACTGTGGGCTCTGCTCTCTTTGGTGGCCCTGGGGACACCTCATCCATCACAGTGGGAAGTGGGACTGTGGGCTCTGCTCTCTTTGGTGGCCCTGGGGACACCTCATCCATCACAGTGGGAAGTGGGACTGTGGGCTCTGCTCTCTTTGGTGGCCCTGGGGACACCTCATCCATCACAGTGGGAAGTGGGACTGTGGGCTCTGCTCTCTTTGGTGGCCCTGGGGACACCTCATCCATCACAGTGGGAAGTGGGACTGTGGGCTCTGCTCTCTTTGGTGGCCCTGGGGACACCTCATCCATCCCAGTGGGGAGTGGGACCGTGGGCTCTGCTCTCTTTGGTGGCCCTGGGGACACCTCATCCATCCCAGTGGGGAGTGGGACCGTGGGCTCTGCTCTCTTTGGTGGCCCTGGGGACACCTCATCCATCCCAGTGGGGAGTGGGACCGTGGGCTCTGCTCTCTTTGGTGGCCCTGGGGACACCTCATCCATCCCAGTGGGGAGTGGGACCGTGGGCTCTGCTCTCTTTGGTGGCCCTGGGGACACCTCATCCATCCCAGTGGGGAGTGGGACCGTGGGCTCTGCTCTCTTTGGTGGCCCTGGGGACACCTCATCCATCCCAGTGGGGAGTGGGACCGTGGGCTCTGCTCTCTTTGGTGGCCCTGGGGACACCTCATCCATCCCAGTGGGGAGTGGGACCGTGGGCTCTGCTCTCTTTGGTGGCCCTGGGGACACCTCATCCATCCCAGTGGGGAGTGGGAGTGTGGGCTCTGCTCTCTTTGGTGGCCCTGGGGACACGTCATCCATCCCAGTGGGGAGTGGGAGTGTGGGCTCTGCTCTCTTTGGTGGCCCTGGGGACACCTCATCCATCCCAGTGGGGAGTGGGACCGTGGGCTCTGCTCTCTTTGGTGGCCCTGGGGACATCCCCAAGGCCAGGAGAGGTGATGGCAAATCCCTCCCAAGACCTCATGGCTTTAGGGGGAGCTGCTGTGTGGATCCAGACACAACGTGTCCGTTCGTTATGAAAACATTTTAATTGGGTGAAGCCATGAAGGTTGGTTCTTGTGCAGCAGCACCAGCGATACCTTGATGTTGGTGGGGAAGGATCCCAAGAGCTTCTGACAGATCACAGCAAGGAAAAGATCCCGAAAAACCTTTTTGCTGGAGTGGTTGTCACTCATTGTAGCAACTTGGGGGCAGCTGCAATTAAATGGTGCTCGTTAAAACCCTGGTTTCCATCAAGTAGCCATTGCTGGTGGCCATGGTGGCTCATCTGGCTGGGTTTCCAAAGCCACAATGGCACCGGGAAGCCACGGTGTGAGTCCAAACCACGCTTGGTTTTGGGGGAGCTGGGGGAGATGGTGATGCCTGTCTTACTGGGGAGGAAATTAGAGGGGAAGAAGCTGACCCTGAGGTGCTTCTTTCTCTCCCCAGATTCAACCGGCGCCGTTGGCAGCTCCGACGTCGTCGTCCTCCTCCACGGCTTCCCAACCTCCAGCTACGACTGGTACAAGGTGAGGGGAGTGAATGTGTGGAGGGTTGGATGCCTTCATCAAAGAGGAAGAGCAGATGGACATGGGTGGTGGGTCAGCCAAGGGTGGACAACACTCTGGAAGAGCTTCTGCTGGAGGTACCACCACGCTCAGGGATATCAGCCCTGTTCCTCTGCTGAGACCTTGGGTGGGAGCCAAGCTCTTTTCATATCACCCAGCCCAAAGCAGAAGGAAAAGACCCACAACTATTTCTTGGCTTTTTTTTTTTGGGGTGGGGAGATGGTTTTGCTGTTTATTGGGAAAATTCAACCTCCTGCAGTTTTTTTGGAGGTGCTGTCTGGAGCGTGGCCATCCGCAGCTGCGCATCACCACAGACTTTTTCTCTCTCTGCTCCCCTCAGCTGGTTTCTTGGGGGTTTTATTTTTACTCCATTTCTTTTCCAGATCTGGGAAGGGCTGACCCAGCGGTTTCACCGGGTGATTGCTCTGGATTTCGTAGGATTCGGTTTCAGTGACAAGCCTGTGAGTAGCCTGGGAGGAGGATTTTTTGCCGTTGCTTTTGGCCTGCAGAGGTTCTTCTGCTGTGACAGCATCCCCGGAAAATTGGTGTTTGCAATCCAGTTTCTTCTCCCATTTACATCTGGGAAAGGAATAAGACATTAGAATCATAGAATGGTTTGGATTGGAAGGGACCTTAAAGCTCATCCAGTTCCAACCCCCCTGCCAGCAGCAGGGACACCTTCCACTAGACCAGGTTGCTCAAAGCCTCATCCAGCCTGGCCTTCAACACTTCCAGGGAGGGGGCACCTACAACTTCCTTGGGCAACCTGTTCCAGTGTCTCACCACCCTCACAGTGAAGAACTTCTTCCTAATATCTCATCTAAACCTCCCCTCCTTCAGTTTAAACCCATTTCCCCTTGTTTTGTCATTAACTGCCCTTATGAAAAGTCCCTCCCCAGCCTTCCTGGAGCCCCTTCAGGTACTGGGAGGCCACTATAAGATGTCCCTGGAGCCTTCTCTTCTCCAGGCTGAACAGCCCCAACTCTCTCAGCCTGTCCTCACAGCAGAGCTGCTCCAGCCCTCGCATCATCCTGGTGGCCTCCTCTGGACTTGTTCTGGAGATCAACTCTGTCACCATCTTGCCTGTACTTGGGTTTGATGTGACTCCAAAGCACACCTTGATCCCTTTGGGGCATGGGCATCACTCCTGTGGCCTTGTGGACGTAGCTGCTGACCCAGGACATCCCAACTGCTCTGTCTGGAGTCACAAACTTCTGGTTTCCACCCCATATTCTTCCATTTAGGTGTTTATTCTGGAGTTTGTGGGTTTATGGTGGGTCAGGCTCCCAATGCAGCTTCTCTCTTGCTTTGTTTCACAGAGGCCCCACCGCTACTCCATCTTCGAGCAAGCCAGCATCGTCGAGGGGCTGGTGCGTCACCTCGGCCTCCGCCACCAGAGGATCAATCTCCTGTCCCATGATTATGGAGATACAGTCGCACAGGAGCTGTTGCACAGGTCACTCCAACCACTGATGTTCTGGCTGCTCTTTGTTGTCCCCATCAAGATGATTTCCAGCAGATAAGTGGAAGGACGTAGCTCAGAGCCCCCTGTCCCCACTACCTACAGCTGCAACGAAGCTCAGGGAGGTCTCAGGGCACATCTGGTAGGCAGATCTGAGATTCCCACCCGTCAGTTCCTGGTTGGTAGGATGTTTAAATTCTCTCCTGAGCTCTTTCTTATTGAACTGGGGACAACAGGGGAGCAGAGATCACAGAATCCCAGTATGGTGGGGGTTGGAAGGGACCT